TACACGGGAGGCAGGCAACACGAGGCAGTGAAGAGAACTGTGTGTGCGTGGGTGTGCTTGTGTGTGTGTCAAAGGTGAGGCCAGAGGAAATGGGGACCACATGTCCCACCCAGAGCCATTCAAACTCCTCAAGTTCAAAAGGCACTGAACCAGAAAGACGCACCATGCCCTGTGGTGACTGTGGCCCAGGCACCCTTCCCACTGGCTGCGCTCCTGGGTGGGGATGAAGACAGGAGTGTGATTGCCTTCCTATGAGTAACAGAATGGTGGCCCTTATGCCCATGAGGTTTCTTGGACCAGTTCTTATCCCTGTGGCTCATCCTCCGATTAACTCATACTGCAACAGTTTGCCGATGAACGCCAATGCTCCGAAATAAGTTCATGTTTCTACCTAAATGAATATGAAAAATCAAAAGAAACCCTACCAAAAAGAGCCCAGAAATGTCACCCTTAAAGTTTGACTTAAAAATATATGTATACACATTATATGTATTAGAGTTAAATGAAGTCTTGAATCTATTAAGTAGCAAGTACTAAGATACAAAGCATTTCTCTGTGCCTGGCTCTCCCTAATCTGGCTGTAGTTTCTTGCTGCGATGTTGCTTAAGATTATGCTGGATCCAAGGCACACTTTAAAACCATTTTCCTCTAGTGACTTAAAAAAAAGAAAAAAGAAGAGTTCAAAAAAAAAAAAATCCTTAATCCTTATCTCCCTAGCTTTACATCCCATTATTCTGGGTAACGGGTATGTGTGAAAACATCCTCAGTTTCAATTTAGTTAAACCTCTGCCTCACGGGGAACAGCTTTTAAATTGTTCAGACAATTCTTATCAATCAGCTGGGTTTGTGTAAAGGGAACAGGAATCCAGAAACCTAATCGGCCCTTCTGTGAAAAATCACCAAGTCTCCCTGATCAGAGGGAGATCAGATTCCCCACAGCCTTTCCTCCAGATTTTCTCTGTTTCCTGGAGGTTTTTATTTTAATCACAAAACTGTTCAGCTGATCTACAGCTTCATGAGTTTTCTGGACAAGGGTGGATGCACGTCTTAGGCAAGCCTTGAAATAAGTATTCCCTCTCTGGAAAATGATTTTGTAAGCATGCCCTGTACCTAGTGAGGTGGGCTTTCTTGGCAAACTGGTTAATGAGAAACGCAGGATGGCAATAGTCTAGTGTCAGGGCTCAGACTTGGGGGAGCAAATCATGGATTTTTTATTGGTTTGCTGTATTTTGCCCTTCGTTATAGAAGACTGGTATCAGAGTTCAAGTTACAGAGAGAAATGAGGAAAACTATAAAGAGCAGGAAGAAGACCATAAAACCAGCCAGGCTGGTCATTCAGTGAATCCTTTTATGGTTGGTGGATATCAATTTACTATGTTCTACTGGGCCAGTATTCTTGAGGATAATTCATCTTACAAATTGCCAGCCCATACGTGTTCCACCATCAACCCCCAACCACACAGACTTCATGAGATGCACTCACAGTGGAGAGACGAGATGCAGGGATGGCACATCTGCTCTTCCTTTTTGCTATACAGGCCTTAAATGCTTTCAAACCCTGCATGACTGGACACAGACCTTATGGCATTTGCATTCACTGGGCTACAGTGGAAGCTCATCCATGTCTAACTAAACCAGGTGACAGCGTGGTAGCTTTCCTGGGCTGGAACCAGGTCTTGCTCTACCGGCTTCCTTTGCATCCAAAACACACCTAGGGGACTAAATTTGTAGTCCATCTACCAAAAGAGGCTAAAAGGTTTAGTCTGGCTATGTAGGTAAGTAGACAGATGGACATACACAAAAATCAATGTATCAGTTACATACCATACAATGGACATTGCTTGAAAGGTAGAATGGGTTATTTTGCATAAGAACTTCTAACCTTACTGAGATTGAAAGAGATGTCATGCAGAGGGAGCAACCTCTCACCACTTTCCATGGTGAAGCTCAGAGAAACTGAGCCAGGCCACACAGATGTCAGCAGCAAAGTCGGCGGGGCTGCCTCGTTTGGAGCTTCTGAGAAAAACCAGCTGGAATGCACTGTTACAAGTATTTGTGTAGCACCTTGTGTATCTCTAGCAGTTCTGGGTTCCTGATCAGTTAGCAACAAGCAACCAACTGCTGGTTGCAGCGGGCACAGGAAGGGAGGAGGAGGTGTTCTTAGGATGGCCAGGAAGCTCAATCAAAGCCTAAGATGTTCACTGGAAAGCGGAAGTCTCAGGTGTGAAAAGTAATCTCAACTCTGGTTAGTGTGCAGATGTGTACAAATAACATCTACAAATGACTTTTTAAACGGCTTCCTCTAGCAACAAGAGCTGTTGCTATCACATGGATTTTGAAGTGAAATGTTATGGAATTTTCTTGCTTTAATGAGAAAGCAGATTCAACTGGTAGACAAAGTAATGATTAAAGCAATTAAAAGAGGAAAAATGCAAAATCCACTAACAATATACGTCCTCCTCAACACAGATAAGCAGGCTTTGCTGGTACTAAAAACAGACGCATGTTGGTCTTGCGTGGAAACAGCCAGAAGTGATGCTTACTATGAATGAGCCTGTCCTTTGAGAGGAGGGAAACATCAATTAGCAATGTCATTTGTTTACCAATCTGCCCGCACCTGGTTCTCATTTGTCCTCCAGCTGAGAAACCAAAGACAACTTTTTATTGCTTGTGGTCAAACACCAAGTTCATTCTGCCCTTGGATGATCAAACGGCTGGCCTCCCCCAGCTTGGGAGGGCTTGCCTTTCACTTTCAACTTGTTCAATCATCATTAACTCGGAAATTTGTCACATTCCATTTGTGCAATGAGAATTTCACCACTGGTGACCGTTTGGGTGAAGGTTGTGTAGGCAAGGTCTTAAATCTTTGAGAGCACCTCACTTGTTCTCAAGGTCATTTAACTCATTTCCTTGTTTAGAGATAGTTGCCTAGGACTCTGCAGTCTGTGACCGACATCAGCAACTCTGAAGACCCCAGTGTGTGGGGCCATGTCACCCCCTCTGAGTTTGAAAATTTTCCTCGGATGAGTCAGCATATTTGGCATTTTACCCAGGAGTGCAAAGGTGTTTGACATGCGTGCGCCACACATACTCTCCTTTGTTACTCATCATGGACACACCCACTGGATTTTTACCAAGCAAACTTCTTTCTAACAGGGAGGTGCAAGTAAAGCCTTCCACTGGCAGGGCTTCCTCCCTCCAGGATGCCAGCTCCCCGGGAGACGCCTCCCTGTCGGCTTGGGAAGATTCCAGAAAGTTTCTAGAAAGTAGAAGTAGATTTTTTTAAATTGTTGCCACTGGGCCTGAGAAATTTCCATCTCCTTTGTTTATTGTTTTATTCTATTCCGCCCCCCTCCCCTCTACAGAGAAGTTTCGGAATGTTAAATCTCACTGAATCTGGCACAAGGCCACATCCCTGACAGGCACTCTACAAAGAGGAATTTCTGAGAGTGGATGGCAAGCGGCAAGATGGCTAAAAGGGAGCGGTCACCTGATCCAGATCTTAATGCAAGCACAGTCTACTGGGGCAAGTCAAATACATCTTGTGCCAACTGGCAAGTAAGTCACAGCTAAAACAGGCCCTGGTTGCAGGCCCTCATTAAATTTTCAAGGCCAAAACCGGGATAGAGAGAGAGAGGGAGAGAGAGAGAGAAATCTGCAAGGCCTTCAGTTCCTCAGCACCATGTGCTTATTAAGTGGTTTCCAAGAAGGGTTTTCTGGGTGCCAGTTCTAGTTGTAATTCTAGGATTTTACTGGGTTACTGCTGAAATTAGAAGGCTACCAGTAGGTCTAGATTTTACACATGTCTTGATGCCTTCCAGCTAGCTTTGGCTCCTAATATATTACAGTACTTGTGGTTGTCAACATCCAATTTTTAATTGACTAGTAGAATTTCAGGGTTAGAGAGTAGGCAGAAATAGTCTAATGATTTTTTATTTGTAAAACAAATGTTTATTTATTCACACTTTATGTGAAAGGCAGAGACAGAGAGACAGAGATCTTACATCTGCTGTGTCACTCCCTAAATGACCACAACAGCCAGGGTTGGGCCAGGTCAATGCCAGGAGCCGTGAACTCCTTCAGGGTCTCCTATGAGGGTGGCTGGGTCCCAAGCACTTGAGACATCATCTGCTGCCTCCCAGAATGCACACTAGCGGGAAGCAGAGAAGCTGGGCCTTGGATCAGGCACTTACACTGATATGATACTTGGGTGTCCTGAGCCACTATGCCGAATGCCTGCTCCTAATGATTTTCCCACTCTAACTCCTCTGCTAACACCAGACCAGACCCTCGGTCTAAAGAGGAATTGTGTATGTTCTAAAACACAAAACACAATATCCTGCCATTTTAATGGAGGGGGGTGCTAACAGCATCATCTTTAAGAAAATAAACTCAGTACTAGGTTATTAGCTGAAAAATGTTTGTGCATAAATTTCCTGGAGAGAGATATCTTGATTCAGAAACACATAGGAATGAACCTGCATTCTTCTAAGTGTTTTGTAAACATCAGCTCCTTTAATCCCTGGGGTAGTTCTGAGAGGAGGAGTAACTTATCCAAGGTCACAGGACACAGACTCCAGGCAGGCTGGGTGTACCTCCACTAAGCTATGCATGAAGATCTCTCAGAACAGGCCACCCAAAGGCCCATTTTTCTGTTGCTCCAGCTGGGCAGATGCTGTGCAAAGTGTAAAGTGTATGATTTGTTTGTTCCACTTTGCAGGGACTTGCACTTTTTCCTCCTCCTGACTTCTTCCTTTTTGGCTCCACCATTGTGGAGGGCATCCTTTTACTGGGCTCCCAGTGAGCTGGTAAACTGTCTCACTTTGTGTCGTCTGTTGGTACCTCTCTGAGACACACATACACACACACACGCACACACACACACACACAGCTATTGCCGTGCTTCAGTGAAGCCACAACGGGTTTGTGATTGTGAGCATGAAAGCAGACATCGTTTGCTCATTAGAGCTAAGTTTTCAGGACGTGCCCCACTTACTGACCTCCACTAACGGCCTGGGTTTGCGCTCCACTGCAAACCTGAAGTGGCAGAGTTCACAGTAGCTGGTGTTTGAGGACGACAGCCAGTGCTCCAGGCAGCTCCGATGAATTGTCCCCAAGGTCCCTGTGCACTCGCACGGAGAGAGCAAGTCCTCTTGGCTGCTGCCCTCGTGGCAGATCCTGCACATTGGCCGATCATTGAAAGGGCTGCAAGAGAAGAAGGGCACCAGCTCATCACTGGCTGGAAAACACCACCATGCAAATGGCTTTCTCCTGTGTCCTTGGGCCCCCCTAGCAGCAGCTGCTCAGAACAGACACTTGTTTCAAGACTCATACTTGACCTTGGCAGTGGAGACAGTAGCCTCCGATATTCAGAAGCACTCAGGCCATCATCTACTTTTGCCGGTACTAAGACTAGAAGAAGGCCAATAGCAAAGAGGTCAGGTTTGGCCCAGGACCAGGAATGAGTGAAAATGAGCAATACGTTATTTTTGCCTTGAACGTAGATGTAGTTCAGGCAAACTGTAATCAAGAAATAAAAACCATCCTTTATCATTAAGAAGAGAGATTGTTCTGAAATGACACCAATTGTAGTTTCTAGACAAATTGCAACTTGTGAACCAGGCCAAGGAAAGATTTTGTATACTCAGAGGTTCCTTTTGTCTCATCTTTCAATAGGGCAGGAAAAGGAGAGGAAGGAGGTGAGCTAGCAACCAATCCTGAAGCTGCTGTGCAGGACTGCAGTCTGAGCCAGAGTCCAGGCCTGGGTGCAGGATGGTCTCTGAATTTTTTAGGCTGCTCTCTGGGATGCCAGAGACATTAAACTGGAAGGGAGTCACAAATACGTCTTATCCAGGTGGTCTCTGTCTCGAGTCTGTATTTAATGTGGAGAAACCACTCTGCAGTGGTTTCTGTGCAGCACAGAATGGTTAGGGGTTCATAGTACGCACTCCAGAATCCAGCTGCCTGGGCTCTGTCCCAGCTCTGCTGCTTCCCAACCAACTAACTGTGGGCAAGTAACTTCTGTGCTAGCCTCCCTGTGTCCTACTCTCTTGCTTCCTAAGATGGGCAGCAAAGAATGGTGCCTTCCTTAAATGCTGACTGGGAGGATGAGGAGCGGTACTCAAATTTGAAGTTTGAAAATGAACACAGGAAATGCCTAGTTAATGTTAGTTTTGCTGGCCGGCACCGTGGCTCACTAGACTAATCCTCTGCCTGTGGCACCAGTACTCTGGGTACTAGTCCCGGTCGGGGCACCGTATTCTGTCCCGGTTGCCCCTCTTCCAGGCCAGCTCTCTGCTGTGGCCTGGGAAGGCAGTGGAGGATGGCCCAAGTGCTTGGGCCCTGCACCCACATGGGAGACCAGGAGGAAGCACCTGGCTCCTGGCTTTGGATCGGCACAGCGCCAGCCGTAGCAGCCATTTGGGGGGGTGAACCAATGGAAGGAAAACCTTTCTCTCTGTCTCTCTCTCTGTCTAACTCTGCCTGTCAAAAAAAAAAAAAAAAAAAAAGGTTAGCTTTGTCATTTTTGGCAACAGTCATCAGAGCAAGGAAAATCAAACAACATGGCCCAGCGTGGAAGCCAGTAGCCAATAGATGCATTAGACTATGAGGGCTCAGTTCTCAATGGGTGCTGTGTAGTGGGAGAGGCCAACCCCCTCTCTGACTTGTGCTGTTTTCATTGGCACTAGATTTTAAAATATGTCATTATGACATGTGACAAACTTGCAATCATCCTCTCTACCTGCCCTCCCACAGTTGCCAGAGGTGACAGTGGTCCAGGCCCAGGCCATATCATCCTCCTCAAGGCCATCTTTGGTTCAGATGGAAACAGCCATGGGAACACCACTGTTTCTTACACACCTTTCTAAGAACAACCCTGGCAATGAGCAAAATCTGAAAGGGGGCTAAAAAAAGAAAGGACTCTCTCATATTTGTACCAAAGACCTCCCCTACCTCACTCCACTCTAATTTCTGTGCTCAGGGACAGGAAAAGAAAGCTGTTGGAGGTGACTTTTTTCTTCTCTTGATTCCTGGCTTCCTTCATTCACATGGAGCCATGTGCATGAGAGACTCAGACACTTTCTGGTTTACATTGCTTCCATGGCAGGAAAACATGGCACACACCCATTTATGCACATGTATACATGCATGCACATCTGCACACACATACACACAGTTGGGTTCAGAGCCTCAGTCATTTCAACCACAGCTTCCTCTTCCTAATCCATGGAGGTGACGATGGCCACAAGGGGGACTGGCGCATACCCAAGTGACCCAGGCTTAACTCACAGAGAGCCAGTGATGCTCACCAGCTCATGATGTTCTGAGTTCTAGCCAATTGCTAGAAGTTCTCTGAAAGGTGGACAAATTCTATTAACTATTTCCTATTTCTTACCTTTGGGACGGCCACATGAGCTCTGAACAGAGGCCTATGGTCAATGCTTACCAGAGGTGTGGGGAGTGTGAGTCCACATCCGTGGGCTACTGTGTCTAGGCAGGGTTGTCACCAGTAGACCCAGAGCAGATGTGTGCATGGCTGTGTGCCTGGACCAGAGAGTTTGATGAGTCACTCAGAGGGAGGTAAGTAGTTAAGGGTCAAGAGTGACAGATCTGACCCTAGGGGTCCAGTGTGATGCCTAAACACAGTTACATTTGCCGGTCAAAAGTCCCACTGACCCATTCTGAGAAATTCTGGAGAAGCCAAGGTGCACCTGCTGGCCTGGCAGCCTGCAGCTCCCATTTGCTGCTGGGCAACAAGAACACAGGAGGAGACCCCCAAAGACAAAGTGCCAGCCGCAAGGAGCAGTCTCTGCACTGCCCAGAGTCTTCACTCTTGCTTTGGTTCATGCTGTGGGAGGAAAAGCTGGGAGACTGTAGCAGTGCTAACTTTACAGGACCGTGTGTGTGTGAAGGGCCATGGATGGCGGCCATATGGGGCAGACAAGACAACAGGAGAGGACCCCAGCTGTGAAAAGGGACTCACCCAACAAGGGGCCCTGGACAGTGTGTCCATCAGGCCATTAGCATGCACCCCAGGAAAGGCCCTTCAATAGTTCTGCCTACAAATCCAATCACTTAGGCTCAGTCCTCTGAAATCTGAGGCCTTCTTCACTCTATTCTAGGAAAGGGCTACTTTTGTTAGCTCCCAGAGAAAGTAAGACCTTACTCACCACGGCAATGTGAAAATAACAAACATAAAGCCTGTACCCCACATCTTGTGGGACCCTTCTCCGCCTTGCCCTCTGCAAGTGGGACTTGAAGCAGAACGCTGGACAGGGTGAATTTTAGCTTTTGTGCCCTATTGCTATAGAAATGGTAATGACAGAACTTGGGCAGCATTTGCTTTTTTTCCCCACTACCTCTGCTCACCTGACAAAAAGACCTGAGCACAAACTGTGTTCCCTCTAGTACCTTCCTTCTGAGTAAGGGTTCTCTGGATCAATCACAGAGATTTTAATGGTGGTACTACCTCTGTGTGGCAAGAGTCCGCACTACTGTTGACAGCAGCTGCCCGTCCTTGGCTGAAACTTGCATGACATACTGTGGCTGCCCATTCACAAGGCTGCCACAGTCCTCCACGGTCTTCACCACGGGTGCAGCCGAGCTGGTGCAGTCTGGCAGGACTTCGGGCAGGTGACTGCAGCGGCTGGTTGTCATGGTAACATACAGCAATTACTCTGCTAATGGCTTCCACGTTCATGCAGGATTTCCATCTAAGAGAGATCAGAAACAGTTTACTTGGGCTGGACAGTTAATACAAAATGGAGAATCACGGGCCATTCTTATTTAATACAAATGACAGGGTAGTCTAAGAAGGTGACTTGTTACCGTTTAATACAAGGATGCACACAAACACATACACACACACACACTCACACACTCACACGGCCCACAAGCAATAGCGGGCACACTTATGAACATGACAGCAATCACATCAGGGCATATACACAGGAGCCCTGGTTTCCACGAGAGGATGGAAGGATGGCTCTAAAGCTCAGATCTGAAGAGAAGATAAGCCGTCCTCCTGCTCTGCACCAGGAAAGCAATAAGTCTTTGTTGACACTCTAAAAGTTACTAGAATCATTATTAAAACCCTTTGCAACTATTTCTTCTTGCAAGCAATTTATTCTCCATGCAGTTTCATTCCGAGATACCAGGATTAAAAAGAGAGACAGAAAGGAGGAAAAAATGAATTTGTCCAAGAAGCATGTTCTAAGAGCAATATTTGCAAACAAGAATCCTTCTATTACTGTTCCACCTTTCTGTTTTCTTCCTAATTTGTGTCCTATAATACAAACTGTCTACTTAATATATCTGGAAAATTAACTTCCTAAAAACCTAACTATTTTTGCCTTGTTTTAAGCAAAGGGCTTCATGAAATGATGACTTTGAAGAGCTTGTTTATTTTTTTCTAATGGACACGAAAGTAAGTACATAAGCAGTGAAGTTTTGTTTATTGGGGTAGTACCCAAGACCCCAGGACACAGGAATTATCACAAGGACACACGGAAGAGCACAAGAAAGAGGATGATAAGCAAGCTGTCTATTACCAATAAAAACAACCCAGTAGTGATACAGGCCTGACATCCCTGACACAGTCCCAGTCACAGAAGCTGAGGAATTTGTGTCCTGATCTGTGAACAGCTGACCTCACGTTCAAAGCACTCAGATCCATTGGATTGATGAACCCCATACCCAATAACAGGTCAGTACAAGATACGCCAGACACGGAAGCTCTCAGAGACCTGTGGGATGAATGTGGTCTGAGGTCACGTGACACTGAGTCCCTGTGCATGACGGGCTCTTCTGCCAGCCTCACCCCCAGTACAGCCTGGGCTCAGCAGATTGGTTGACAGTCAGAGCTCATCTCAACCACAGGCCTGGGTGGCCAGGGACTCACTCCCCAATCCCAATCCTCCAGGACGGTGTCCTCCAAGATTCTCAGCTTTGCTCATTATATTTTACTTGACCCCTACAGGTCTGGAAAATAGGACCCTCCCAGCTTCCAGAACAATGCACATGTACTGCACATTGTCAGGGCAAGAACACAGTGTTTCCAAATGAACTTGAGCTGACAGCTCCCCTCCTGACAAGCACATGTCGGCAGGCTTGACTTGCCTGGAACAATTGGATGGGAACATCATCCCTCCTTGTGGCTGTGGCGTCTGTCTTGGCCCAGCAGCTTCCCCATCCCATGCTCCTTGGCTGCCCTGAGACATCTTGTGTTCTGCACCTGCTCACTCCCAGCAGCCCTCTGGAACGGGGGAAATAGACCTCAGTCCTCAGCTGAGGTTTGCAGTGGGGGCACAGGCAGAAGACACCCCCTCCATGACATCAGCCCTAAACATTCAAGGAATACACTTAGACAGCTGGTAGAGGGTATAGTTTTTTGATTTTTAAATAGAATTTGCTGTTTTTTCAAATACTCCAAAAGCAAGACACATATGTTACAGAAAGTATAGAAAAGCACAAAGGAAATAAGAGAACTTACTTATAATCCTGCCACTTGGGTAACCACATAACCACAGTAAATTTTTGGGGTGGATGTCTGTGTTTTTTTTTTTTGGCAGGATTGGGAGGGTGGAGTTGATTTGTGGCTGGACCAGATAGTTTTTTGTTGTTGTTGTTTTGTTTTGTTTTAAACTGCTCTATGGTGGTTCTCAGGCCAAAGTATAAAAGGATGTTAGAAGACCGTCCTCTCCTAAAACTGTACGATTCCCATTGCCTGGCCTGCTTGTACAAAGCCCCATTGACGTGACTTTAAATTCTCATGATGCCTCCCAGTCACTAAGTGTAACTTCCTGGCACGGCTCTCTGGCTTCACAAGGCAGCCATAGATTAAGAGCCAGGGTGTGTTGGCAGGAAAAGCAGACACAGTGACCTTCTCGCCGCATGGAATCATTATGTCTGGGTGCACTCCGAGAGTCTATTTTCGGGATTTGCATAACTGCAGCTCAAAGGGCCAAACACTCCTCTTGACGCTTGACAGAATCAGAGGGGGAAGAGGAGGTGCACAGATTGTGTCAGCGGGACCCTGGGCTGTGGTGAGGTAGACTCCCCTTTAGGGAAGGGCCTGTCACTTGGGTACCTAAAAATCCCTGAGTGCACACACATGAAACCTAGATTAAGTCCTTGTCAAAGGAGATAGCTCTAAATATGTGACCTAAATCCACATTTTCCCTTACACTCATTTTATATCCATAGCTTCTCTTCTGAATGAAATACTTTATTTTCTTTGCTTCTCACTGGCAAAGGGGACACAATCAGCCACGTGGTCAGTTCATTTAATTTGCACTGGGTGCTGGGTATTGAGTTCAGCTGCTAAAGGAACCTTTTGGCACCCCAACCTTGCCTTCTCCTGTAAGCAAGGCCAGGCTCTTTCTCTTGTGCCATTTCTGAGAACCCCATACTCAAGACCCTCTAAGCTCTCACCTAACTTAGGACCTTGCTAAAAGGATATTCCAGGCCAGCGCTCCCTGAAGGACGTACCGGCCTACCTTCTGCACACCGAACTGCAGACTACCTTGAGCTACTGACGCTGGCATGCTACTACTGAGTCCTGACGGTCCAGAAAACAAAACAAAAGACCATGCCTTGAATTAAAAACAGGGTGTAAGGGATTACACAGAACATGAGTACCCTTGACCATGGAGGGCATGGCTGACTGGCTCCAGTCCCAGAACAATGGATCTACTCACCTATTGGTGTAGAGAAGGGAAGGGAGCCGATCCTGCCCTGATGTCAGGGAAAGGGAAGGCGAGAGGCCTGCATGTAGGCACGGGGCCAGCTGCATGCACCAATTGTCACTTACATGTTGCACCTGGGGCAGTGACAAATGGCCCACTGCACTTTCCTGTCTCATTCAGAGGCACCTGGGAAAACAGCAGGCTGTTCCCGTGAATGCTAGAAAGAGCTGAACTTTCAGTTTGCACCCCAGTGCTGGTCTCCCACTGATGTTTCTGCAAAATTTCAAGCACCATTTGACTGCTTTCTGCTTCAGTCTTGAGAAATCCCAGAGAGAATACTTGGGTGGACTGGGGAACGCCTTTCCCATCAGAGCAGTGCACTGGGATGTGTAAGCTTGAACCCCAAATGGCACTGCTTGCACAGGTCCTTTCTTGGCAAGGCTTGACACCTTGTACAATTTCTTTCTCTGGCTGTGAATAAAGCATAATTTGGCACTGGACAAACTCAGCTGCCCACAGTGGGAAAACCAGGAGTGGGTGGACAAGAGGGAGACAGTGAAAACAGAGGGGTTGGCTACATAAATGAGAGTCTGATTAGAGAATTGTTAAGATAACAAGGCTTGTCTGTTAAACTGTGACCCCTGCAAAGGACAGAGTGCAGGTTTCACAAAAGCAGGAAGGAGCTCCAACCAGGCTGCAGAGAATCGCGGCTGTGTTTCTGGAACAGGCTGCCACTGGCAGGTGATTTCCATGGGAACGCGGTGGGCATCAACAGGATGCGTTCTCAGGACATGGGGGATGGGGAGAATTGTGTTCTGCTCACCTCTGAAGCCGTCTGAGTGTGCAGGAGGACCGTGGAGCTGGGGCAAAACCCAGCTCTTAGAGCCCAACACTGAAACCTGCACCCTGGATCAGAACTTACTAGCTTACCTCACACAGCTTCTGAGGTGTTCCTGGGATTTCCTGGATGTTGGAAGTTAGGGTACCATCCTTCTGGAGCCACTTCCCTGGCTGTGAGGCCCAGGACAAGAGGAAACAGGTGAACGTGCTTCAGGAGTTGCAGCGTGCCATGCACATGTAAGCCTGCATTCCACTATTATGCTGACCTTGGCTCCCACTCCTTTCTTAGCCAGGGCTGCATCTCTGTCTGTTTAAAACTACCTTCCCCATGGCTGGTGGACCCACACACAGAAGGACTTCTTAGTCTCCCCAGCCCTGCTTCCTTCAGAACTGGAATTCAGGGGTCAGTCTTCCATGAAAACCTTTAGAAAGACAGGAGGCTCTCCTGAAAGTTCATGGAAAATTAACATTATGCAAAAACTATGCATGGATTTTATTCTTTTTTTCACCAAAAGAAACTTTTCTTGAAGTTCTGTTTTTCCATGAATTTTGTGATGTGCCCTCATATATGATGAAAAATCGCTATGATGCTAAAGGTGCTTGGGTCTATTTTTAACAGCAGCTGCCATTATTCTAAGGAACCTAGCATGTGCTAAATACTAAACGTAAAACATAAGCCACTCTCAAGATGGCCTCTGTTAATTTATTTGAAAAGCAGAGAGACAGAGAAAGTGAGAAAGCATGCGCGCGCACGAGAAAGAGAGAGAGAGAGAGAGAGAGAGAGAGAGAGAGAGAGAGAGAGAGAGAGAGAGATTTTCCCTCCACATCTTCCCCAAATGGCCACAACAGCTGGGGCTGGGCCAAGTCAAACCTAGGAGCCAGGAACTCCATCTGGGTCTCTCACGTGGGGGATAGGAATTCAAGTACTTGAGCCATCTGCTGCTTCCCAGGCGAATTAGCAGAGAGCTGGATTAGAAGAGGAGCAGCTGAGACTGTAACAGGCACTCTGATACGGGATGCAGGCATCCCAAGGGGCAGTTCAACTTGCCGCAACACACTGTCCACCCTCCATGAACTTTTTGTAACACCCTGAACTCTACACTTAAAACATTTAAGAAGGTAGGTCTCAGGTTAAGTGGTCTTGCCCCAGTTAAGATTAAGTTAGAGGAAGAAGGAGCAAAAGTACT